ATCTTGCTATTTAATCCTCAAAGCCCCAGGACTACTCTATTACAAGAGTTACAGATATCATAAAGGATAACCCCAAAGGATGGAAAACCTCTAGTATGTGCAATGTTATTTCAAGGGGGGGCATGAAAGCAATCCATGTTATCCCTTTGCCAGTGAATGGGGGTAAGGATAAGAGAATTTGGTGGCCCACTAGTAAAGGTATTTACACTATCTCCCTTCATCCCAAGTTAAGGCAGTTCGTTTGGAATATGAAGGCAGTACCTAAGGTCAGACATTTCTGGTGGAAAGCTTGTCAGAACATCCTTGCTTTACAAGAAAATCTGTGTAAGAGGAGGTGTGCTACAATGTCTATTTGCCAGATTTGTAAGTTGGTTCCGGAGTCAATTGATCATATTCAGTTTGAGTGCGAATGGACCAAGAGGGTCTGGTTTGGAATGGACCTTATTTTACAGGGGGGAAGATTCAACATTTGTGTCGGTGGCCCAAAGAACCTTTGCACTCCTACTGCTAGTGAAGAAGGCACAAAGCAGACTTGATAAATTGGGGAAAATGACTACTGTGGGCTGGGTAATTTGAAAGGCAAGAAACCAGTTTATCTTCAATATGGAAGAGGTTAATGCCTACGCCACAATTTTACGTGCTCAAGCCATGTGGAGGGATTAGCTTAGAGTTGGCGAAGAGGGATCATCAAAGGGACAATAGGTAGTAGAGGCTGAGGATGGAACTTGTATATTCTGCGATGGTGCTTTCAAATCAAGAACGGCAAAGGCAGCTTTTGGAGTGGTGATATGCAAGGACAAAGGTGTTTTTGAGTTTGGTAGTGCGAAAGCTTTCCCAGCAGCATTGATTTTTATTTTTGAGGCAGAGGCAGTGAGGCAAGCATGCCTCCTTGTAGAAGCACAGTTGATCACTGAATGATTGTCTCAATATCATTAAGCTTAGCTCCAACGAAGATGTTTCACATGGAAAATTAGTGTAATCATTGAGGACATTAGACACTATGCTAGGTTATATAATTTTAGTATTTTACACAAGCCTAGAGCCTATAACAAGGCTGCTTAGTTGGTAGCAACCAATATACTAAACAATTTACTTCCGGTGAATTGGCTAGGATCCCTCCCTCCCGGCGAGCTTACAGCTTCTCTTTTGACTGATTGTAACCTCAATTTCCCTACTTAATGATATGGTTATCCTGTTTGCTTTGTTAAAAAAAAAAGGGTTAAAATTTGGACTATAGAAAAGTATTTGTTAAAAACTTTACACCCGAATTATCTTAAGGTTTTTGTTAACCAATAGAGTTGTTTGGAATTAATTCTAATATTTCAATTTTATATTTTAGAGTCCATCTCTACCTTTTGTGACATAACTTTTTCAACCTTACTTGTAATAGTACCCCCACTTAATTAATATTTTCTCTTATCATTCATGTACTCAAAATATTTTTCAATTGCTAATGCAATGTCATCCAGCAATCGCGCATGCAATGGTTCATGGAGTCAATGTTGCCTTCAGCTTCAAACGACCTCAGCATGTTCTTTAACTCCCCCCCCCCCAACAAAAAAAAAAAAAAAAGGTGTCCACATGAATATTAAAACATATTCAATCAGGGAAAAATGTTATTTAGAGCTAAATGCTCACTTGATTCGCTCATCTAATAAATCACAATTATTAAATTAATAGTATGACCTAATAAATATTGGAACTTATAGTTAAATTAATGATAGAAAGTAATTTCGATTATAAATTAAGTCAGTATTTTAGATATAAGCAACATTGTCCTTCAGTCGGTGTATAAAATCGTGTACTGAAATACCAAAAGAATTGGCCAATGTAATCAGTTTAACGACATTCAATAATGCTTAAAATAACAAGTTTGAGTTATTGGCCTGTTTGGAGGTTGTTGAAAACGTCAGTTTTTAAAGGATTCGGAGGAAAAGAAATTTGGTCCGTTTGGATTCGGCTTTTTTGGACAATTTTTTCCATTAGGTTTTTTTGGGCAAAAATAGTTTCTATTTGTACCAAGGAAAAATTGAAAAATAGCTTTATTCAAAAGCTCTCAAGAAAAAATCGACTTTTTCAAAAACACTCTAAACTGTTATAAGAGTTTTTTTAATCTTTACTTTTTTATTTTACTTTTCAAACTTTTATCTCGCACCAAAAAAAAAGCTCAAAACTGGCCCATTATAGTGAATTAGGACATTTTCAATTGGTATTTGAAGTAAATGTAATGATATTTGTAAAATAACCAATTTTTTACCCAATATGGTGGCAGGAGTACACAACGCGGGGGTTGTGGCTTGATCAGCGCCAACAATCAAGGTGAATGGTAGTGATATTGCAATCTTTAAATACCATTTAATCTACGGAAGTTCAGTGATTTTTGGTGTTTCGTTTACGATTTTTCTTGATTCTCTTGGGATTAGTAAACAAGACTTAATTTACGAATACTACTGTTGTTTCCATCTACAATTCTGTAGTGTTGTTTCCAGTCGTCCAAGTCTCATTCGTCGGCTTCATCGTGGGTTCAAGCTGCTATGGAAACACTCAGTTGTCCCCTCAAACTTTTTTTTCTTATGTCAAAAAAGAAAAAATACCGTTTAGTAACGATTTGTTTTTCAAAGTATGTTTTTTTTTTTGACTTTCTTAAGTACTTTTTGAAAGTAATATTGGTTGTCGCATTCCTAGTTTTCCTTTTCAGAGTTTTTTTTTTTTTTTTTTTTGGGTTTGTGGAAAATGAGTACAAGCTTGTCAGAACCTGTTGCCTTTTCTAACCTTAATCTCATTTACTACATCAATAACTAGGGGTATTTGCAATGCACGAGCAAGTGTGCGTTTTTTCTTTTATTCCAGGATGAGGATGAGGTTGAATAGGCTTGTGCTTGACAAGAATAGTCAAACAGGTTGAAACTGGTCCAACGAAACACAAACTCACGATGAATAGAATAAGATTTAGATTGGGCCATTCAAAATTCGGGTTGACCCATTCTTTGATAAGTTTATCAAGTTCATTTACATACTAACCGAATCCATTAGCACTAAAATTCAAACTGGATACTTCTATGCTCATTTTCACTCGTGATTACGAACTGTGTCTAGAATTGTCAGGTCTCCTCGGAGAGTTCAGTGGAGCATGCTTAAATGTAATACATGATTTTATGAAGGATCAAAGGATAATTTATATACAGCTTAAGGAAACCAAAGTGTCAGTAATGCAACAGTGAAGAAATATAAAAACATAAAATTTGGAATAAGGAAAAGAGAACTTGGAAGAAATTCCTATATCACTTGCATCAAGGGCGGAGCCAGAATTTCCTCTCGAGGGGGGCCAAATAGTGGTATAACAATGTATTTTTATTCATTATGAATTATTTAATTAGATCGTTAATGTTATGATATTTATATGCATAGAACATATAAGAATCAATCTCACACGGTGTAATATAATTATTATTATTTTCAATCAAATGAATAAAGTTAATCGACACTAGTTGAATTACAAGATATAAAAGTCTAAAATTTAACAATTTATACAATACTAAAATTTAACAATTTATACAAAATGTTACAATTTTAATAGTTAGTGGTTTGACATGATCTAATCAATAGTCGAGAGGATAAAATAAAATCAAGATAATAGGTCTCTAATTCAAAGAAAAGCAATGTTATATAACTTAAATATGTAACTCAAAGTTGTATCTCAAATGAAAAAGGATAATTCGATCAATGAATCTCATTTAAAAAAATTGATAAAACTTACTTAATGATCCTCTTTCATTTAAAATATAAATTTAGATTATAAATTTGAGTTACTTAATATTACTTTTCAAGGAAGGGTATATCTCTTTGTTTTCGAGCAAAAGAGGCCAAACAGCCTCTTCACCCCGCCCTCCTTCCACGAAGTTATACCAACAATCATTGAGAGGTCCCACCCACCCCTGAATATAGACCCAAAACAAGAAACTTCCTTCGCGCAATTTCTCATGCATTCTTAGAAACAGCAAAATCTCTCTCTCTCTCTCTCTCTCTCTCACACACACACACACACACATAATATAAAACCTATAATATATGTTTAAAATTCATACCCACTTAAAAACGTACATGTATAACTAACTAATAGTGAATCCATCATTAAATAAAAACGAATTAAAAGTCTATGAAATCCAAAATTTTGTTAGGGAATCATCAAATTGCAATGAGAATTTTCGATTGATATATCACTAAATAAGTTTTACATATTAATAGGCTATTTAATACAGAAAAAAAAAGGAAGAAAATATATCATCTGCTTTAATTTCATATAAATATTCTTAGATTAAAGTCCCCAAAGTCCAAAATGAAAATGGAGAAAAGGAAACAGATAATGAAATGGAGTAAAAGGGGAAATGGAAAAATACTGACCATATGTTTCAATTTCATGATATAAAAAAGGTTGTTAATGAACATTGAAGGTTTCCATCCACTAAAATGAATTTCAACAACTTCATTTAATAAGATGATGTTTTAGTTCTGCTCCATCTTATGGAGGTTATTCGTCGTTAAGATTGTGCAAATGGTATTTTAGGGCTGTTATGTTCGCATCCCTCGACTCATAATCGAAGTGGTCTCGTGCGATCTCATACACAGCCATCATTAAGTTGGCTGGGGTGCTTGAAGTTACAAAATCACCCACAGAAGTCCCCTTGACTCTGTTTCTCTCTATGTAAAAGCGTTATAGTTCTAAGTATTAGGCGCGTAAATTAACCCGAAAATTCTGACAGTTGGAAAAAAAAAAAAAAAAAAAAACTTCATTCAATAAGATGATGTTGAAGGACAAATGTGTAAAATCATCTCTTTCATGCCTTTCTTCGCCGTCCCAAACAAAAGGATTTGCTTCAAGGAAAGGAAGGTTACACACAAGTTACAGTTCTAAGTATTTTGCTCAAAAATCAAAACAAAAGAGAGCTACTAGCCAATCACATAAGATCTAATTAAGAAGAATTTAAGAAAAAGACCAACCTGTTGTAGAAGAATTATTGCATAAACATCTTGATCAGCCACATGAGGTACAAAGGAAAAAAAAAATCATAGGAACACAAGAGATTGAGCCGTCCAGCCAATATCACACCAATACCATCATCAGTACTCAACCATTAAAAGCCAATGAAGCAGAAGTGGAAGGAGGGAGAAAGATATATATACATGATGAAGTGAACTTGCAAAGGTGCATTTTCAGAACCAGCAAAACTCAGAGAAGAGCTAAATAAAGGCACTTTCTTCTCAAAGCCTGTCATGACATCTTCACAAGTAGTTGTCACATCCACCGTCCCCACCATAGCCACTGCCCCTGTATGAACTTGGCTTCTCGGCCTATGCAGCCACCACCACCAGTACCGCAACCCTAACACCAATACCACAGCCGTATATCTTCAAAAGAAAACAAGAAATGAGACAAAGGTAAGGGTTTTCACTTCCAATGTTAAAAACAGATCAAGGGGTCATTGTTGGCTTAATGTAAATGAAAATGATCAATGACACAATGGATTTGGGCCTTGAGATGGTGCCATTTTTCTGCTTCTCAAATCCGAACTTGTCAGACCCCGTCCCATTCGCTTTGGTATCTTTGTAGGCAATTGCACTAGAGTTTTCTAAAATATGATATTTGTCTCATTTTAGTTCTTAATATTTTGATTGCATAATTTTATTCTCTTAAATATTGAATATATTTTTATATAATCCCTTAAGCAGAAAACGTCCTGATCATTAACGATCTTTTATTATAAACTTGTCACGTAATACTTAAATATAGATAAAAATATAATTTGGATAATACTTGACCAAATTTTTATCCTAATTTTGGTCAAAGTGCTATCTAAATTACACAGTTTTAATCATCAGCTATTCAAATTTTAGTCAAGAGCTATTCATATTACATATTTTTGGTCAAAAACTATCCAAATTTAATTATCATGTGACAAGTTTATAATAAAAAATTATTAATAATTTAGATGTTGTTTACTCGAGGGACCACAAAAAAAACATATTCAATACTGTATAAATCAAAATGATGCAATTGAAATATTAGGGACTAAAATGAAACAAACTCTATATTTTGGGGACCTCTAATTTAATTAATTCTTATTTTTATATACGTTGTTAGTCGGCACTCTCTCACTTTTTAAATCTATATTTAAACTTCTAAATTTATTATGTTGTCTCTCTTTTTTTCAAAATCACACTTTGTATACTCAAAATTATCATCTTGATTTCACATTATACATGTTAATTTAACAGTATTGTTTAATTAAACATGCCATACTATTAATCAGGAGATGAATTTTGGCCAAAATTTAAGAAGTTATGAGAATATTAAAATTTAATGAAAGGTTGCAAAAATTCAAGAATTTAAATAGTCAATGGTGTAATATTTTAAAATCAATAATCAAGGGGTGAAATAAAATCAGAACGGTATTGAAGTGATTATGTAATGAAATTAAATTAAAAATATTTTTTTTTTTATGAGTCTTTCGCTCTATAGGAAACTTTTTTGTCTTTTATTCATTTCATAAGTTTGAATTAATATTCTCAACTTTCTCGCAAATAACAATGTAGCACGAGAAAATTTATTCTAACAGATGGTATACAGTAAAAAATTTTAACATTAGTAATGACTTATTGAATAATTTTATTAAATAAAAAATTATAATTACGACAATATTTAACCCCCAGTAAAAAATCTTCACTGTCACTGGTCCTGCCTCACTGTCGTGAGGGGGAGACCACTCTAATATCTCCTTAGTGAAGCCATGACCACCCATGATCACGATTGTTAGCCTTGTTGTCAAGCTCGTGGATAGGGTTAATAGTTGAATCGATCTTATAAAGTTCATTTTTTTAAACATGCCGAATAAATTGAGTCTTACTCAAACTGAACTCGAGCCAAATTTAAGTAATTTGGCTTAATTATAAGCCCTACTGATATATAAGATAAGACAACGTTTAGATGAGCAAGGCAATACCATCTTATACACAGCTCTGTAATCTTTTCTCTTTACGAGGCGCCCATGATTTAAAAAAAATAAAAAAATTCATCGTAATGATTAGATTACATCAACGAGTAATGTTATATGAATTTAAAAAATAGACCTGATAATTATAATCATTGTTTTCACTGTGAATCTCAACATTTATTGGAACTTAACATTTAGTGTAATTATTAAATCTATTTTGTAAGTCTAATTTGTAATTTCTAATTACTCAAAAAAAAAAAAAACCTATCCATTCTCCAGATTCTAATTGTGGGCATTAATTATTCTGTGCAGAAAAGTTGTGGTGAAGAGCCCAAGTCAAAATTGCAGATGGCCGAACCAGATAGGAAGTGCTGGCAGAAGATTTGCAATAGTTTTCTGGGAAACCAAGTCTAATACAGTGAATGCTCGGATGCTGTCATATTGGCTGCATTGAGTTTTTATTCTTTTTGTTTATTTCTTTTCTTTTACATTTTTATTTATTTATTTATTTACAATCAATTGCTGCTACTTGTAAAAAGTGTCAAAATTCTTTTTGAAAAAATGAATATGCGTTTTTGGCGAGCAAGTATTGTAACAATCTCGTTAAGCGTGAGAACCACATGACAGTGTCATGTGGTACCGTATAAAATCACAGAATAATCCAACGACCAAAGCCAAAATTCAAATGCTTCTTCAACAAGCTCTTTAGAAGCAGTGATGAAATCTTAAAGAAAGATTAGACATCTAATCACGTAGATGTGGGACTAGCACAATGTTGAATTTTCACAAATCTTTACTACTCATTCTCACTCAACTAAGTTGTGTACTGCACTATGCCACAACCTAATGTGAAAGGGAAGGCCACCAAACTGGTTCTAGCTTTGTTTTCTTTGTGGGTTTTATTATGCACTCGTTTGGGATTATCTCCACCCATCTGAGTACTTTTTTCTGGAGTATAAATGCATTAAACGGACATAGTAATAGTTCACTGTATTACAATAAAAGTGATTTATCGATCTATATCAAAAAAGTAAGGCGAGAAGCCCGACATTTTTGCAAATAATATTAGGGTTTAAACCTTCCAAGACAAAAAGAAAAATCAGACATTTTACCTTTACATTTTCAAAGGTTTAGTAATGTGTCATCTCCATTGGATGGACGGTATATCATTACACAAAAGAGAAATCCGATAGATTTTTGGCATATGTATTAGGGTTTATCATGGGCCTGGCCCCTAACCGTAAAAAATAAGCGTATGAGAAATAACATTGGCCCATGTTAGATCACATAGAGTGGAAACGGAGGGGAGAGCGAGAGCGGGAGCGGGAGCGGCAAAGTGATTAATGATCTAACTAATAATAGTCTCAACTACACATATTTTGGACCTGTGAATGCCAAGTAAACCAGACAAAAAAGAAAAATGCTAAGTAAACTATGGATGTGCTCTATCACCGGCAATGATATGGTTACCAAGATGTTTCTTGAGAGACTCAAATTTGAGATATCGATGAGGTTTTATTATCCGAGTTACCTTCATAGGTTATTATGCATTCTTTTCATTATACTTTCTTTAACGCTATCTTCCATTATTTTATTTGAGTTTAATAGAGTTTTAAGTAGAAATCTTTAGTTCGCATGGTATATCAAAGTGAGAGAATCTCTCTTTGTTATAGGAGCGATTTTGCAACCCAACAGTGAATAGTGCTTTCAGGAAACAATCGAAATTAGTTAAGCCCTACGGCCATCAAATTGAGCTAGAATGTCCACAAGCTGCACTAACTAAATCACTGAAAAATACAACAAAACAAGTTTCATATAATAAAAAACCTCTAAATTAGGTGCAAACCTCAACTATGAGGTAAAAAAGAGATAACCTTATTATTGATTACAGAATAAATAACAAATGCCAATTTGCATCTTTATTTTGTATATACAAAAAGGAATAACAATCGATGCATAGCAACTGTCTCTCGATGATTGAATGTGAGATAAAATGCATTGGTGGTCCAGGAAATATCTCCTTCGATTCAATTTAGTCGCTCAACTTTCAATAGCAATACTTCGGTCTCCAAAGTTTCTATTTATTTTTAAGTGGCTCAATGACTAACTCCAATCCGTTCAAAAACTACTGTTTTATCATTGATTTGGACGGATATTAGTGATTGAACCCTTTTGAAACATATTGATGACCGTAGAGAATAAAGTGTCACAAATGAATGTTCAACGATCAAAGTGAGATTGAATGCATATTTCATGGACCACCAATGTGTTCGATCCTTGAATGTAGGCTGGTTGACCTATAGTAAGGAATTTAATCCTCTAGATGTCAAAGACAGTTTGAAACATAGGGTTGCATGAATGAGTTAAGCTCACCAAAGAAAACATCATCTTCTTCGACATAGCAACTGAAGTCCTGAGAATCAAAGTATGTTTGGACATCATCAGGAAAACTACATTGTGGCTGGTCGAACTTCACTGGTATTGTTGAAGGGCACTCAGCTTCCGAGGTCATCTCCATCATTTCTTTGAACTTAGATGACTGAAGTAAAAGTCCGAGGGCAGATGTGGTGGTAGCTGGTCGTGACTGATTTAGAGTGATGTCGCTAGTGTTTGAAGGTTGCAGTTGCGGCTGCTGGCGGTTGTGGTCTTGGTTGTGATGGTGATGATGGAGGTGGGGGAGGGAGGTTAATGATCCAAGGCCATGATTAAGGTTTGGTGTAGGTTTAGTGTCAACATTAGGGCTAAGCTCACTGGTACCACTGTTGCTAGGTTTTAGCCAATTTATGTAACGGCTAAGGTCAAAGTTGGTGACGGCGTTAACCCCACGGTACTCAATGGCTGCCATGTCGTATGCAATTGCAGCTTCTTCTTGGGTTGCTGCAGAATAAAGAAATGTTTAGGGACAGTTTCGAAATAATAGAAAAATGAATAATAATTGAAGAAGAAGTTTAGTGAAGATTTCAATGTGATTTCAGGTGGACCTTTGAAGATTATGGAATGGTTAGGTTTGGTGGACTCTCCCAACTAAGTGATTGTCATTGAAATCCTCATGTCCACGCAAAAAAGTTGCTTTACTTCCCTAATAATCTTAAACTATGAACTTACCATTTGTTTGTCATTTTCCATAAACCAAAGTTAACGTTTTTGCTAAGTTTTATAGGATGCTAATTTCGAGTGAATATTTAATACGTCGGTAATATCACATTATCAGAGACACACAGTATAATGACTTGATGGTGTGTCTCATATATAATGTACATTATCTAATATAACAAGGCCAAAATTTAGTGGAAGTTTTGGAAATGAAGGAGAAATTACCATATGTCCCAAGATAAAGGTATTTATTCCCAAAAACTCTGCCAATTCTTGCTTCCCATCTTCCATTGTGATGATGTCTGCTCATTGAAGGAAAAGTGCAAACAAGTTGTACAAAGAAATGAAAATCTTGATGAAGAATATGCTATACTGTGATAATCATTGTGTGGTGCAATTTTCAGACTACTGAAACAAGTTTAGAAAAATGTGTGCATATATTACATGCAATCCTCTAGGAAAACTATAACATATGAACATTGTGAGAACATGCAACTCAAAACCATTTGGTAAAGAGATGAATCGACTTTTCTAGATCTAATTTTAAGTTTTGGATTACACGTTTTACCCTAATGAGGAGGAGATTCCCTCATTTCTGTTGTCTTCCTTCTGTAAAAATGTAATAAACAGTTTAAGAAATTGAAACGGAGGGGTGACTTGATTCATCGAAAAATTCAAATGGTTGAGGGATTTGGCCCTATCAATCCTAGGCTCACGCCTCACAGACAATTCAAATAAATAAACAAACGGTCTGATTCCACTATAGAGCATCTTATCAATATAAACCAATCGTTGGTGGATATATTAATCTTTCTAGGTGAAATATATGATCCCGTGGATGAGAGGATTATGGAATAAAGTTGTATAAGTATCATCTGCTAATACACCCCAATTGATGTTTTTACCGTCATCTTCCCATCTCATGCAAGAAAATGAAGAATTATTTAAAACCAGCTGAATTTTGAATGTAATCTAATAGACAACAAATTAGTAACTCTTCTTGTACCTTGCAACTCCTCGATATTTAGATACTCCTCGAGAAAAACCATTGCTTTTCCTGCAGTTTTCCAAAAACCGTCGTTCTCATCGAAACCGCTCATGCCTTTTGTTTTAGTTTATTGATTAGGGTTCATAGATGATGTTTTTACCTTCTCAGAGATCCGATATACTCTTCTCTGGACTGACCCTCCATCTGTTTCAGTTCATTTTCGTATGTTGAGAGCTGTAACAATTTTTGTATAATGATTAGTTCAATCGCTCATCTTCAATTTGTTAGTTAAATAGTAGCAAGCAGAAAAGGTTAGAACATTGTTTGCAATAAAAGTACCGGAAAATTTAGAATTGTGTCTTGACCCCAGTATTTTAATGCTGCTAAATCATAAGCATGGGCAGCTACATCTTCATCGTTGTAGGCACCTGACGATTCATTACCAATGAGAACCGCAAGCCAAAAGAAAGAGGGGGGGGGGGATTACTCATCCATATAAGGACATATATATGTATGTATGAGAGAGAGAGAGAGAGAAACCTGTTTGTAACATACCAAGGTAGACTGCAGTTTAGTTAGGATTACAGCAAACCACCAGCAACAAAATGCGAGGAGGAGAAGAAAAACCAATTCATAAATTTAATTTAAAAACAAACATTCATGAAAATCCAAGGAAAAAGAACGTAGATGATCATGAACCTTGTCTCCCTTTCTTGTTCTGTGATTCATTCCAGCAATTCTTATCCCACAAATGAGCTTCGTATCGGCCCGTCCACCGATGCCTGGAACAATCAAAATGCACCCATTAAATGATTAACCTAAAGGGTAGAGAGATTAAAATCTAGATTTTATGAGAAGATTTTGAACCTTGTGACCCCTCGATAAATCGAGCTACGTTGAGGAGGAGAGTCTCTAGGGACAGTTTTTCTTGTTCGCTTCACCTTTTTCACAGAAGTGTTGGTATTAGGGTTAGTATCATTTGCAGTTCTCTTGTGGCTTTGCTGTGATAGTTTCGCCATGAAACTGTTCTCAGGTTGGCTCCAGGAGGAAGAATAATAAGATAAAGGCTTGTTGGGTCACATGACTGAGTCTTCCAATGGATGGGTTTTTAAAGGGATGGCAAGGAAGAGAGGGAGAGAGAGAGTCCATGTGTTGGCAAATCAAAGATAGCCGGCAAGGAGATGATTGACAGATTGAGGCCGTCTTGAACCGGCTTGTATGGCCTCTTCTGGCGTGTCCTTTGCAACAATTTGTCTTATGTGGTGTTTCAATACAATATAAAAGGTTGATTCTTTTGGCGTGTCCATAGTATAGAATTTATTTTATTTTACACTCTGATATTTTAATTTTATTATTTTAATTTTTTAAGTATTGAATATATTTTTATATAGTCTCTCAAGTAATAATATCTAAATTTTTAACAATTTTTTATCGTAAATTTATAATGTGATACATAAATATGAGTAAAAAATAATTTTGGTAACTCTTAACCAAAATTTAAATAATTCATAATCAAAATTATGTAAATTGGATAGTTCTTTGATCAAAATTTGGATAAAAATTTGGTCAAGAATTAGTCAAATTATTTTTTTACCCTTATTTAGGTATTATATAAAAAGTTTATAATAACAAATTATTAGTAATTTAAACATTATCTGCTTAAAAGATTACATAAAAATATATTCAATACTTCAACGATTAAAATGATGCAATTAAAATATTATAAATTAAAATAAAATAAATTTCATACTTTAGAGACTTCTACTGCAATTAACCATAATATAAAATACAATAAATTTTGTCATTTTAGATTTTACTTTTGAAAAAAATGAAACTCGTTGAATCTCGCAAACAACCTGATTTTGTTGTGATAATGATTAATTTTGTATCGGTCATCAAAATTTGAATATGTATTCGTTATATATATTTAATAAATAACTTACAATTTAAATCTTAAAAGATAAACAAAATGATTTTTGTTATTCGCGTTTGAAATCGTTTTTAATCTTACTTTGAAGTTAATCTAACGGCTAATATTACCATCCTAAATTTAATAAAAAAAATAGGCCTCTAATGGTGTATTTTGAATGACTTTTTAATAGTACTTTTAGAAATTATTTCTTATAAATATTTTTTAAAAAATAGTGTTTGAAACCGCTCCACAACCATCTCTACCACCGCCATCGCCACCGCCACCGCCGCCGTAGCCACCACCAACACCTTAAATTTAATAGAAAAAAACAAGGCTCTAAAGGTGTGTTTGAAGTAACTTTTTAAAAGTACTTTTAAAAATTATTTCTCATAAATACTTTTAAAAAAATAGTATTTGAAACCGCCCTACTGTTATCTCAACCACCTTCACTGCCAATGTTGTTGTAGCCATCACTGCCACCGTCACCGCCACCACCACCACCACTACCACCGTCACCGTCGCCACCACCTTTGTCATTGTCGTCGTCGCCGCCGTTACCACCACCGCCACTGCCACTATCATCACCGCCACCGCCACCACCACCACCACCCACCCCACCACAGCCCCTGTCACCGGCACCATTGCCGCTGCCACCACCTCCATCATCGTCGCCGCCGCCACCACCATGATTATTGCCACGAACCACAACCATCAACATTTTCCTACCACCACCACTACTACTACCCACTACCTCTTACCCCCACTATAAATCGATGTTTAAATTCTTTTATTTCTTCTCTGTATTTGTGATTTAATTTTGGATATGAATACAAATATGTTTATTGTTTATCATTTTTTATTACTCTGTGCCTTCAGTCATAGACAATAACTAGTATATAATAAGATAACTAACAAGTTGAATTTTATCTCTTATATATTATTCCCCCCAAAAAATATTATATTATTCATTTCTATCACATGTCTAACTATTTTAATATTTGATTAATTTATAGTTTAATATAATTTTTTTTTAAACATTATTAATACACGATAGTATACATATATTGATAAAATTATATCAGATTATTTATTTTGAAAAAATTTGCCGATTTTTTAATAAAATAATAAATAAACATAAATTTTCAATGATGCAATCAAAAAAATGAAGTAAAAAAAATTATTATTTAATATACTGGAATAGATTTTTTTGGACATTCAAATTTTATGTTTAATTGTGTCTTCAGACACAAGTTATGATTAATATATATATATATCACACTTTTTTTGATCCAGTATATATATCACACTCAATTTATTTAAGTTTACACACAGAACTACATGACAAATTAATGCCAAAAGTAGGATTGATTGGACATCAGTCAAGATTGATTTTTTGGAAAAATGTCAGAAAATTATAAAAGACTCAATTTTAGAAAGTTTTCAACGACTTGAGAAAGATTAAAACCTTCATCTCAGTTGTTTTTAAGCCAGAAGGACGTGTAGAGCATTTTTAGACAATTTTTTTTTATTTTTTATTCTATTATTTGAGGTATTTTCATAATATTACATATTTTTAGATTTAACTTCTAATTTTTAATAGACTTAAACATAAACCTTGAAAGTTAAGTCATTCGAATATTTGGATCAAAGTTTTTTAATCTGATTTGAATTCGGATCAACAAAACTCCTGCAGCGTGAATTTGACGTTTGACTAGCCAAATACAAACTCTAGTAAAATTTTATTTGACGGGTGAGATAACGTGGTACCTTGTTTGATGGTGTATAATTTTGAATAGTGGCTCTTGACTATGTATTTTATTATTTATGAACATTGGTGTATAGTTATGATTATTCCATTTTGTTCTCACAACCATTTTTGAGCATCTCACAGTCCGACAATTTCGTAGACTTAGACTTGGTCAATAACAAAAAAAAAATAATTTGAGATAATTTCCAGGAACTTATATGACCCAAGTTTCGAATTTTCTATATGGCCCACTAGGAAATTGCCTTTAAGTTTTGTATTTTGGAGTGGGGTCACACTATTACAACAAAAAAAAAAAAAAAAATTCGTACATGGGAAATTGCTTGGAAAATATGAAGTTCCATTAGATTATCAGGGAGACAGAGAAAGAAATACTAAAAAAACAAGAGATGAAATTTGGGATCATAGAGCATTATTTCATTTTCTCAGCATCCAAACATCTTATAATGGAACTACATGCACACCAAATATCTGATCTTTTATTTTAACAACTCAGTAAGTTTGTGAAATAAGTTATATTATACCATCAAAACCTATTTAAACAATTTTTTCTTTAATATTCTGCAAGTGGTATTGTTATTTTGATGAAGCGATAATTTTCGACACAATACATTATTAATATACAAAACTACTGGGTTTAAATTGATTAGTTCTTAACACGAACTCTCAAATGACACAACTAATGAACAAGAATTTTAAGAAATCAGACATATTGGTTAATAAACTTACTAATGTTTACTATAAACCCAAAATGATATGAGTCAACACGAATTCGTTAACAACCTATTTTTGATCATACAATTAATTAATTAATTCAGGAAACATTTTTTTTAGTTGCTGGAATATCTAAAGAATTTCAAAACCTTGATATTACAAGAATATATAGTTTCTATGAAAATAGAAATTGTACCAGCTATACTGAAATCAAAACCTCGGGCAGTTTATTAATTTAGCGGGTGATTGTGACATCAATGATAATCCACAATCTCAATGTCAAATTTAGCTAGATTTTCTCTTCCCATGATTCTGGGATCTGTACTGCTCTATAGAAGTTTATGCATGGATTTTTCTGTATCATGGCCAATCTGTAGAAACTCTTGCCATGCCAATGGGTAGTTGAATCCATGCCCATACATATTTTACAAATAAATGGGTAAGATTATGGTACTAAAAGTTTACTTTTTATTTGTAAGTAGCGGTAACAAAAGTTATACTACAAAATGGGGTTGTTTAGAATCGATCACAATTATATTTAGAATCAATCCCACCTTTTTTTAACTTGTAATTTAACGTTATTGAATCGTAACTGATCTTTTTGAGTTATAAGTCATATAAGTTCTAACTAATTCGTGTTTCTTAAAAATTTGGATATAGTATCAAACTCCGTACAATCGTCTTGTCAACCCAATGGAATAGCTTAACTTGTTCGAGTAGATTTGGTAAGTAAAGAATTGGCCTCCAACATCCAAAAAAATAGGAGTGTCCAAGAAGTGAAATATTAAAGAAATCTACCATGCAGATTATGGATCACCTAATCAAAGTCATTAGAGTTTTGATCAAAGGAGACACTTGAAGAATCTTCATTATGAAAATTTGGTGGTGGAGAAACTGAATTTTTATTATTATCCGTATCAGATTCATATTCTAAAATCGTATCTACAGGATCAATTACATATATATTCAATCTATATCACTGCCAAGGACAATTTTTTCAAGTCTCTATCACAGGCTTGGCTTTGTATAGATTTTGACGGCAAGTAAATGCATGCATTGATAAATACATACGTAGATGAGATAACTATTTCAATTGGTGCAAAGTAAATATATTATGAAGAGCCAATGCGGGTTTTAGATGGTGAAAATTTTTGGCACGTACCCTAGTGGGCATATGACTCTTCGTGGTGAGAGAGTCCATACCCAATTTAGTCCTCGTTAATCGAGGGTATCCATAGACGAGACAACTATGGGGGTGGTGGTGGTGGTGGATGGGTGTGTGGTGGGCGATGATGGTGGTGAATAGTGGTGGTGGTGGGTGGGCTTGTCAAAGGAGAGAATTTTATTTACCGAATCCAATGAAACATTTTTAAACGGATTTGAATTTAAATGCATATAAATTCAATTTAATAAAAATCTGATATCAAAATTCAATCTGTTGACAACCCTAGTTGTTGGTGGCAATGGTGGAGTGGCGATGGACGATGGTTACGATGAAATGATAGTGATAGTAGTAATAAATATAAAAATGAGGAGTGTTTATGGAGAAATTATTTTTTTTTACTTTTACTTATTTATGTGGTAAAATTATTTTTGACTTATTAAAAAGTAATTAAAATAAATTATTT